ATTCTGGGAATTATTTTTGGAGATTTATTTTTCTAAAAGAAAAAAATGGTAGAAGACCTCATATCACATAATCTGCAACTAAATGAGTGTAGCTCAACTAACTCAGAAATTGACTTACAGGCAAGTAAAACCAAGTAACTCTAAAACAGACCCAATATAAATAGTGTGAAGTAGACCAGGCAAGGCAGTGCACATCTTTCATCTCAGTCCTCAGAAGGTAAAGGCCAGATCTCTGTGAGTTAGAGGCCAGCCTGATCCACATAACGAGCTCCAGGCTGGCTAGGACTACATAGTGAGACCCCCAACTCAAAAGAAAAAAGGGCAGGGTAAACATTTCAAATGAGTGATAATTCAAACTACCAGAGGGTCAGTTTATTAACCATTGGAGAGAAAAAAGTAGTTAAGTCTATATCAGACTCCAAAATAAAAGCAGCATTAATAATAAATAAATATGATAGGCAAAGAATTAATGTGACAAATATTCTTACAAATCAGAAAGACAAAATACTCAATAAACATGTAAAAAAATCTTCTATAGTGAAGAAAATACATATGAAAAATGAGACGTCATTCCTGCTAAATTAACAAAATAAGGATTGCAGTAGTGCCTGTGGTGGCAAGAGTGGGTGGTATGTGGTCATTTTTTTTTCATAACCACTATAACCCTTTTGAGAGCAATTTGTCTCCCTGTACATGTTAACATGTTTAGGAATAGTTCCTAACAATAGAAATAGAGCCATTTCATCATAGGCTGTGATTGTAACAGTGGAAAACCAAAATAATCTATTTCCCTAACAATAAGATACTGTTTAAATAAGTTACTGTTTAGACATATAATGAAAAATTCTCCACTTATTAAATGCTATGTTGATTTATGTTTTTTTGATGTAAAAAGATGTTCACTTTATATTGCTAAGTGAAAAAAAAGAGATTAGGAAATGGCATGTATAATATGATCCCAGTTTTTGTTGTTTTAAAAATAAGTATGGGGTCTGGAGAGATGGCTCAGTGGTTAAGAGCACTTGCTGCCTTTGCAGAGGACCCTGGTTTAGTTCCCAGCACTCACATGGTGGCTCACAACTGTCTGAAACTCCAGGTCCAGGGTACCTCACACCCTCTTTTGGCCTCCATATGTGGTGCCTATACATACTTGCAGGCAAAACACTCATACACAAAAAATAAAAATTATAAAATAAAACTATATATGGTGCAGACAAAACTCATTAGGAAAATGATGGTAGTGTTTCTCTCTGGCTAAAGTGAGGACAATTATTTTGTTTTCTAAAGTTTTCTAGAGTGAATGTGTATTGCTTTGTTAGGAACTAGTGGAAATGAAAGAAAATAGTTTGGCAGTTTCTCAAAAAATTAAACAGAGTTTCTACATGAACCAGAAATTCAACTCCTTAGGTACTTGGCTAAGAGAATTGAAAATATGTGGGGTTTGGGGGGGTTTGTTGTTGTTGTTGTTGTTGTTGTTGTTTGTTGTTTTTTAAAAAGCTTGCACTTTCAAGGATGGTGCTCAGGGACTCTCAGAGTGGTCTAGCTTTTGACAATACAGTCTCTAACAAAACTAGGCTGTCCCAATCCGCTAGTAATTGGAATGCACCAAAAGCCACATGTGGTGTGCGCCTGGGCAGACTTTGAGGGGTTCATGCTGAGAGACCTAAAGTCCTTATTAGATTGTCTAAAGCAAAAATCCACATCAACAGGGCCTATGACGGCTCTGTGTATGCTAAATGTGTTTGTGTGCTTCCCTTGTTGAGGAGCAGAAAATTGTGTTGAAAAAGCACAAAGTCAGAAAGTGAAATGAATATGAAGCTTTTATAAGTGATACAGAATGAGGGCTTGTTCTGTAAAATAAAAACTTGCACATTAATGTCCATAGCACCATTATTTATAATAGCCAAAAAGTGGAAACCACCCTAGTGTTCATCAGCTGATAAATGGACAAAATGTGGTATATCTATAAACAAAATATTTTTTGACAATGAAAAAGATGCCATACTAACACCTGCTTATGACATGGGCAAACCTCAAACATGGTACCAACAGGGCGTGGTGACTCAGCTGTGATCTCAGCATTCAGGAGCCAGAGTAAAGATGATTGCCAAAGTTCAAGACCAGTTGGGACTACATAATGAGAACCTGTCTTTAAAAAAAAAAGTTATGAAAAGTAAAAGACTCACAAAGGACCATATTTTATGATTCCAATTATAGGAAATATCTGAAACAGGCAGTAGCTGCTTGCCAGAGGCCAGGCAGAAGCAGAAGTAGAGAGTACAACTAACAGATACAGGATTTCTTTGGAGGAGGATGAAAATGTTCAGAGATTGGAATAGTAATAGTTGTACAACTTTTTAAATCATACACTAAAAACCACTGAATTTTGTACTTTTAAAGGGTGAATTTTGTGATACGTGAATTTTTTTTTTTTTTTTTTTTTTTGGTCTTTTTGAGACAGGGTCTCCCTGTAGCCCTAGCTGTCCTGGAACTCACTATGTAGACCAGGCTGGCTTGAACTCAGAGATGGCCTGCCTCTGCCTCCCAAGTGCTGGGATTAAAGGTGTGTGCCACCACGCCCGGCAATATGTGAATTTTATCTCAAAACTTAAGAAAGGTAAAATAAAACCTATTAACTATAAGAGAATATAGTTTTTAAGCATTTGTTCACAAATTAAGGTCTTAACTTTCCCCTAAATTCTGTGATTATAGTTACAGTTTTTGGTGTTTTATTGTTGTTTTTCTTTCTTCAGGGTTGGAGATCAAGCCTAGGGTACTGGGAATGCTAGACAAGTGCTGTACCGTGAAGCTAAATACCCACCCAACTCCTGCTTAATGGATTTTTAAAGAGTCAGTTTTGCTAAAAATAAATGAATCAAGAACTTATAAGTGACCATGTAGCTGTGTCTCCACAGCTCCCTCCCCTTCCTGTATTTTTTTTATCTTACTTTATTTACTTATTTAATCTTTTGAGATAAGATCTCATGTAGCCCAGGCTGTGGGCACTTATTGTGCTACTGTGGATGACTTTGAACTCTCAATCTTCCTACTGTCATGTCCCAAAAACAGATCATAGGTGTGCATCACCACACCTGGGTCATTCTCATCCTTTTGTTAATGATAAAGTAAGGCATTTGAAACCATGTAGGAAACCATTTGCTTCTACTGTCAGTTTCACTTTATATTTTTATTTGTATTAATTTTAGAATTTTGTCCTCCTTTATGTATTTAATTACTTAATAAATAAGTCTTTACTAAAATAAAAATAAAATAAATAAATATTTACATATTTAATTATTCTAACATGAGGATGTGTGTTCTCAAGTAAGATACCAGCTCTCAATCCCATTTTATAATGTATCTGTGGTTTAAGTATATTCTTGAGTAATATTAGAAGTATAAGCAGATCTGATTTTTTTCCTTTTATAATTCATTTTCTTCTGTCTCCATCCCTTTCCCACTTTTATCCTTTCTTGTCCTCTAAAACATACAATTAAAAATAAGAGTATAATGTCTTCTCCTTGATTTTTCCTTAAGCATTTTCTAAGCAACTATTATGTGTCAATGCATTATGTTAAGCTTAATGAGACAGAATTAAATACATGTTTTAAAACAATGTATCTTAGAGCTCCCCAGAACAGTTAGAGTACACTTAATCTAAGTAAGGACAATTAGACAAAACATCCTTTCACCAAGATGGACTTGGTGGCACAGCCTGTGATCGCCACAGTGAGATCATGAGTTCAAAACCAGTATGGATTATATAGTGAAATTGAGACTGTCTCACATAAACAAAGACTTCCTTTTACCATCAGTATAATTAAACAGTTGATTTTGAAATCAAGTCATATCTATTATGCAGTATCAGAGAGGTATTGGAAATATAGTTCATATTTAGCTCTTAACACATCACATAAGAAAAGTCTTGAAGAGAAAAGTCATGGGGATCTAGCCCCACAACCTGGATACAAGCAAAAGAAAATTGTTTTAATTTATTGACAGGAATGCAAGCAGTACAGGTACAGGGACACGAGGCGAAAGTTTGGTTTCTGCTCTTTGACTGCTCAGCATGTTTAAGACCTTTTTAAACCATGAGGGCTTACAGAGGCATTGCATCCCCTAATACATCTATTAGGTTAAAAAACAAAATAGTTATGAACTTAAAGAACTTGCTGTTCTTGTTGTTTTTAAAGAAATAAACAACTATTTACATTGCTTTTCTATAGGACTGATTTTCAACTGACATACTTGTTCAGCCATATTGGTTATGAAATATTGAAATACATACTTAATGGTTGGTAAAGGACTGCTGTCTTAAACTGTCAATTGCACCACCATAGCCTTGTCTTACCTGCCTCTGCCTTTGCCAACATTCAACATTGTAAGATTATCCCCAGGCCTAGAAGCATTCTGTAGGACTCTTCACAGCTCTTCCCTCCCTATTGGTGCATGGGTCACCACTGTTGTGTTTTTTTACCCGCTCTTTTTTATTTGTATTTATTGTTATTATACCTGTGTCGTGAAGTGCCCACAGAGGTGGGGGGGGGGGCGTTACGGATGGTTGTTAGCCACCACGTGGCTGCTGGGAATCAAACCACAGTCCTGGGCAAGAGCAGCCAGTGCTCTTAACCACTGAGCCATCTCTCCAGTCCTCATCACTGTTGTTTAGTAATTTTTGAAGGCTGCCCTGATTGTCTGACAGTTGTGAGTGACTCATTTCTGTTTTACCAGTATTTGGGTTCTACCCTCTGTGCTGTCTGATGGCTCTAGCACAACTGCATTGCTTATGTTTAGAGCCAATATTCAGTGTTGTTATTTTCTGAAAAGCCCAGATACCAACATACTGTAACTAGAGTAGTCTTCTATATCAGATGAGATTGGGCGTGTTCAGAGTGGCATGGCCATAGACAGACTTCTATAGCAAACTGCCTTTTTTTTTGTCTATTTCTCTCAATAATGATGGTTTGAACTGAGTTCTGTGTTCTCATTGTTCCTTCTAGTTCGCTTTGCACCTTATAGGCCTCCAGATATCTCCCTGAAGCCTCTTCTCTTTGAAGTGCCCAGCATTACTACAGAGTCTGTGTTTGTTGGCCGGGATTGGGTTTTCCATGAAATCGATGCTCAGCTTCAGAGTTCCAATACCAACGTGAACCAAGGAGTAGTGATTGTGGGAAACATTGGGTTCGGCAAAACTGCCATCATCTCCAGACTGGTGGCCCTCAGCTGCCATGGTACACGGATGAGACAGATCGCCTCGGACAGCCCACATGCCTCCCCCAAACGTATGTATTCCCTCTTAAAGAACTCCCTGCTTTGTTGGCTCCAAAATATTTTCTGACATTTTTATATTGGGTCATGTATTTTGTTTTATTTCTGTTCTGTGAAACCTAACTTGCATGTGAGGACCATTAACTCAAAGTTCAGAGAAAGAATGTAATACTTGGTGTATATCCAGCCCACACATCCAACATCCACCAAAATGTAACCAGAAACATCTTCCCATGGAATAAATTTATGACTCTTACCTGCTGAATGGCTGGTTTGTCTTTTGGATAATGACTCCAGCAATTGCTTGTAGAGCCATTTTTATCTGTCACTGTTGGATTTTGCTCAGCTTGTGCCCACTTCTTCCTGTTCCATGGCAGCACGATCTGTTTGCAGCCTTCATTTCTTTGCAGCTGATGTCAGTGTCAGACTGTGTGGACGTGAGCTCCATTGTGTCCTTGAAGGGTTTTCCCTGCTTCCTTGTGGAAAGGTGCAAAGTTCTCATGTACATGATTGGCCTTCTCTCATTATAAGCTCAATGAGCACCACTTGATTACTTACTTATAAAACACTCATCTAATACTTACTATATGCCAGGTGTTCTGTAAGTGCTTTACAGATATTAATTCATGCAATCATTTATCAACTCAGTAAGGTTCCTACTGTCTTCATTTCACAGATGAGTGATCTGAGACTCAGAGGTTAACTAACCTCCCAGGTTTTGCAGCCAATAGGGGAATAAAGCAGCCTGGTTTCAGAGCCATTCTCGTCTTTTTCCTATGCTGCCTCTCCTTATGTTAAAACCCATTTAGGGAAAGAAAATAAGTGGAAATGTGTAAGTGTTCTTCCTATGTCAACCATATGCAGAGAACCAGTCTGCTGCTTTTGGTAACAAAAAAGAAAGATTTTGCTCTACTGGTCCAAATTAGTAATCTGGCCCACCACACACTTTCAGGTAACAACCACTTAGAAATGGTTTGTGTGCGACTGTAGTAATAACAGAGTCTAGAAACCTAACTGGAACTCACTGAATAACCTCCAAACATCTTGACTTCTTTTTGAAATTACTTGCAGGTCTTATATCAAGTAGATTATTTCTGGTACACTTAGAGATATCTAACATATAGAAGAAAAGCTGGTGTGTACTGAATAAGAATTATATTCCGAATTTTTATCTTAAAAGGAATAACATGCTTAGGTTCCTGAATGAAGTATTTCTAAGGTAGATCGACACAGAATTGTGGGAGTTGAGAACTTGGGATTTGTGCGGCAACACTCATTGACTACACAGCATCCTGTGACCTTCAAAGTGTGCTTCAATTCTTTAGGTCTCAGTTTTGTCATCTGCAAAATGAAAACGTGATTAGTTGATTTTTAAGAATTGCTTCTAGGAATAAGAATGTAGCTCAGTGATAGAGCACTTGCTTAGCATGCCTGAGATGGAGTTCAGTCTCCAGTACTCCAAATAGCAGGACCAAGAATAATAATGAGAAGAGGAAAAGGTAGAAGAAGAGATTATTCAAAATAGCTATTGTGATGAAATTTGAGTCTAAGAACATATCTTCATGGTTGGAAATAAATTTATGCACCTATTCCAGTATTTTCCTTTGAGTGCTTAAATATCTATCACAGCATACTATTGCTTATCTGAGTAGTCCAAGAGTTAAGCTATTTGAGTGTGTCAGAAAGAAAACCAGATCACTAATAGTTTCTCTGGCTACCCTGTATATCACTGTTGCAGATAACAGTGGTAGAATCATGCCTGACAGAAGATAAATCCCAAAGGCAAGGATAGCTGCTTTGTCAGAAAGCAAAAGTCCCTGGGGTTCCCTCCATAAGCCTGGGAGAGCAAGCATTAATAGAAAGCAGCCTGTGTGCTCTCCAAAGCAGATTCTTAAAAGCTAGTTTGTTGTTACTGTTATCTCTTGAGACTCTCCAAAAACATTGAGAAAGTCCTTATTCATGATATAATCTCCATTGTTAACACTATAGGTTTGGCCCTTTAGTTAGCTTTCACAACTTGAAAAGGAGTCTGAGACTATAGAGTACATGGTACCATCTCTATCAGAGTTATACAAAACCAGCATTGCCTTATGCAAAATTTTTCTTTCGTTGTAATCTGTTGGTAGTCAAACTGAAGTCCGCCTCTACCATCTTCAAAGAACCTATGCTCCCTAAAGAAGAATCAGGGGTACTGAATGATAGAATGCAAGTTATTTTCATCAGAAATATGTTATTATATGAGCTGACACTAAAATGTTATTTGAAGCAACAGTTCTTTTATTAATGAATAGGAATAATATCAGAGGATTGGTTTAGCTTTCTGCAGTTTAACTTACATTAAACTTGGTTGGGTTTCTTTGGAATCCCACTCGCTTTCTAAATCCTCAGGCAATGATGCCATGATGTAGTTGTAATGATAATGAAAATAAATAGAAAGTTGCAGAGCTTTGACTTCTCTCTACATCATCTGATGTTCTTTCTTCTGCGTCCTCCACACTGAGCAGCACTGTTGCAAAAGATGTGAGCAGGTTAGCCTGCAGTATTTCATTGCGTAGCTTTCCGTCCCCCACAGTCAGCTCCCCAGCCTGCCCCCTCCTTGTCATTTCCCTTGGAAGGTACAGAAAAACTGTCAAGGCAGATACTAGCCTGTCATCCTGCTCTCCACCTACTGTCCCAGATATTACTCCCCCATCATTCTCCACTATCATCACCCCCTCCCCAACACAGCACAAAGAACAAAAATTTTGTGAAAATAGACCTGTTGTGTAATTCAGACATCATTGTATCCACTACAGATATACTCAGTGTAGTAGTTAGGGAAGTTCTGTCTAATACAAGACTATTTCCTCTCACTAGAGATCTCAGTGTAGTTACTTGGTTTGACATTTGTCTGCAGCTGCCAAGCCTCCAAACAACTGCTAAGTAATCCCTGAACTGCCTACTCTGCTCCTTTCAGAAGTCTGTTTTGCCTGTTTGCTGTATACACTGACTTTGACCCATTAACTCTTATTTCTACTCTTCTCTGAATGCCAAACAGAAAGTAAATCACTCAGACAAAAAGAGGGCACCTCCAAAAAAGAATAGTTAGAGGGTAGAGTGTTGAGACAGTAATTACTTACAAAGTCAATTTCCAAATAAAGGGCCATGGAGTCATGGAAGAGACTAAACAGCAGACATAATACAGGACAATTACTGAACTTTAACTCCACTCATAGTGTCATATATTTCTTCAGATTTGCCTCACTGCCATCTCTTGTACCCTCCTCACCCCTGCATTATTCAGAACTCTATGTAGCAACTGGGAAATCTCCCTCAGCAGTTGGAGGAAGAAATGTAAATTTACTTTTACTGGTACAAGGTTAAATAACTGCTTTCCTCTAGTCTTCTTTTCAATAGCTATTGGCCACCAAATAACTTCAGATATTTATTCTGGTGCCTATTTTTAAAGTATGTTCTCATTTCTGTTTAGTTCTATCAGTTCTAATAGTAGTAAGGATACACTTTTATTTTCTCATTTTCTAAGACTTTATTATTTAGCCCACTTGAAGCTCAGTCTATGTGTAGTTCTCAAAGGTAGCATAATCCATTGACACGTTTGAAACAGCTCTTGTTTATCTTCCCGTTCTGTGACTCAAAAGTCTGGTTTCTCTGCTCTAGCCAAGGATCTGTTTTCTGAATAATAGGAACCAGTGAAACTTTTTTTTCATTTTTTTTATACCCACTTCCCAGATAGCATCCTCCCATAGCCTCCCTCCCCCCACTAGAGCCCTTATACTCTGATATCCCTACTACTGTCTGCTGTGTTGTCAGCACCACCACCCCCAGCCATTCCCCACTACTTGCCCTTCTGGTGAATCTAGTCAGCCTACCTAGAGGTCCTTGTTTAGGAGGGTCAGCTGTTCCTCATCTAGCAGTAATCAGTTGAACAGATCCTCAAACGACCTTAAGAGTAAAAATAAGTCGGTTTATCTGGACCAACTGTATGTCCTTAAACACCCAAAAGGAAAGTATAACCAAAGATTAAAGGGGCCAATATAATTTCTTAAGAGTCCATATGTATAGCTAAAGGCTACATAACAAGCAACAATGCCAGACAGGCAATACCTTCTTTTGAGTTGTTGGCCAGGGTGGCCAAAGGGATTCCCAGATAGTAACCCAGCATAGAACTGGGAAAATGAACAGCAGACCCCAATCTTATCCAAAGGAACAGTGAAATTTTTTTAAAAGTTTCTTCTTCTTTAAAAATCTTATCAAGCCATATGTTTTTCCCACTTAGAGTGCTCAGTTCAGAGCTGAGCATGGTAGTATACATGTTATCCCAGCACTTAGGACGCAAAGCAGGAAGATTAAGAGTTTGAGGCCAGTCTGAGCAACAGAGTAAGGACCAGCTTCCAAAAGGAAGTAAATAAAAATAAACTGAGCAAGTGTGTCACACATGTCATCCCAGGATGTAGGAAGCTGAAGCAGGAGGTTACCACAAGTTCTAGGCCAACTTGGACACCATAGTGAAATCTGCCTAAGCCAGTCTCAAAATAAAATAAAATGCTCAGTTCAGCATTTTTCATATGTTCACTGGTTATATCACAATCGCCATAACCTAATTTTAGAATATTTTCATGCCACTTAAACTCATGTCTCTTAGCAGTAAATTCCCACTTTCCTTCTAACTCCCTACCTCCTGCCCCAGGAAGCTCCTAATTTACCTTCTATCTGTATGAATTTCCCTGGGCATTTTACATAAATAGAATCTCATACCTGTGGTCTTTTTGGCCAATTAACAACTTTACTTTCAATACTTAATATTGTCTACGTTTTAGCACATGTAAGTACCTCATTTCCTTTTGTTATCAAGTGCATTGGACATAGTTACCACATTTTATCCACTAACCAATTGATGGACATTTAAGTTCTTTCACTTTCTGGCTATCATAAATCCTGCTTCTCTGAACATTGGTGTACAAGTTTTCATGTGAACATGTGTTGTTACTTCCTTTGGGTGCATAGTAATGGAATTGCTGGATCATGGAACAAAATGGAATTTAATCTTTCTTTAGTCTCGAGTTTTATGATTCTCTGATATAGATTATCTCGTCTTTTTAATTCAGATGTGGATGCCAACAGAGAGCTGCCACTCACCCAGCCGCCTTCCGCCCACTCATCTATCACCAGTGGAAGCTGCCCAGGAACTCCAGAAATGCGCAGGCGGCAGGAGGAGGCTATGCGAAGATTAGCCTCACAGGTACAATGGGATTCCAAGTTGCAGACATGCTAGTTCCATTTTAGCCCCAAAGCAAATAGGGAGACTCTTGGCAAAGTGAACAAAAATTTGTAAAAGTATCCATGAGAATGTGAGAAAAGGTTTGTCTCTTTTTTTTTCTTTCTATTCCTGGGGATGGGGTGGGGGATACTTCATTATAATGAAATGAGGGCCTTGAAGTCTGAGACACAAAGTCTCCTAATGACTAGGTAAGGAAGTTATATGATTAACCCAAGATCACAGTATAAATAATCAATAGTGGGGGTTTTTTTATTTCTGTCTCAGAACTTCTATGCCATATTGTCCATAATGTATTTTATGTTTGGGTCTAAACTTCCTATTTTTCTCAAAATATCAACCACATATATAAAAGCTCAAAACTAGCAGTTCAGTTCCTCTGACCAAACCCATCATCTACCCTTTGGTAGATTTCTTCAGCTTTGTCTTCTAGTCCTTTTTATTTAAAAAAGATACTTGGGGGAATATCGTAACTTTACTATCCAATAGCTCTTTCTTTTCAGCAGTTATCTCCATTGCTTTTTATTTCATGCATCTGATATGTATATTCTCTCTCTCTCTCTCTCTCTCTCTCTCTCTCTCTCTCTCTCTCTCAAAGTCACATGCAGCCCAGTTTTCTTAAGTATACAGAGATAGTTGGATGATCCATCCTTTATTAGAAATACCCAGAAGTCAGGTCCATAAGTTTGTGGGGTTTTGTATTGTTTGTGGCCTTTAGCCTCTTGCCTGGAGAATACATATGCTAAATGTCAGTATTCCAGAGCTAGGCAGAAAAAAACTGGGATTTCAGTATCCACTATGCAAACTTCTGCTGAATGCCCTATTTTCAGTTCTGTACCCAATCTCTATTTTGCCCCATGTTTGGTGTTCCTACGTGTATATTTTCTCAGTTTCTTTAGTATATATAATTCTGCTTCCTGTGGATGTTGTGGATGTGATCAAGTGGAAATTCTGGTTTTGGCTCCCTTCCTCACCATCATCTTCCAGAGTATCTGGTACTTCTGATTCTTATGCTTTTCTGATGTTTTACAGTTGGCTTGTAATATTATTATCAGGTTCTAGTTTCCTCATAGAAATCCATCCTAAGTCAGGCATGGTGGCTCTTAATCTCAGCACTTAAGAGGCTGGAGGAGATTTCAAGGAATTTGAGGGAAGACTAGATGGCAGTAGGTTCTAGCCACTACAGAGTGAAACTGGGGAGGGTGGGTATTAATCATCCCTACTAATAAGTACATACTCAAATGGGCTCCTAAAACAGTCCTGGAGTTTCCTCATATTCACTGCCAGCTTGTGACTTTAAAAGACATCTCTGTTTTCTTGTAGATATGGTCTCCAGCCTATTCTTTATAATAACTAAAATAAATATAGAAATGCATGAATGCTGAAAAGATTCCAGCATCATATTCAGTTATTCACTTAGAATATATGTTTAGAATGCCAGTAACCAGAGCTGTAAGTCAATGAACATGACAGAAACAGCCTCTGTGTTGTGCAGCATGCATTCTCATGGTAGGAAAAGGGCAAAAATCAAATAAATACTTAATAAGTATATCATATGGTGGTGAGTGATAAGAAAATCACAGGTAATTATATCTCTCTGCTATGTTTTATCTTAATCTTTCTCTCATCAAGGGAAGGAGTTCCAAGATATTTGTTTTCCATATTTGAAGAATACTAAATATAGTCAGTAGGAAATCAGTGGCTGTTTACCCTTTCTTATAGAATGATCACATTTTAAGTTTCATAATTGTGTCTGCCTTAAACAAAATATAAATGAATCTGTTTATACCTAGAAATTGGAGGTTTCTAATTTTTCACTAAATATTATTCAGTAAGTGCCCCCTTAGGTTAAATTTGATGTTAATGTTCAAAATTTAAAAAGTGTTAAATATTGTTTAAGTTGGAAATTAATGCTATTTACATTTAGTTCAGAGGTACATTTAAAATGTTATGATTATTTCTAAGTAAATTACAAATAAATCTGTGTGTGTGAGGATACAGCATGTTTAGGATTATGCTAAGCATTGTACAAGAAATGACTCCTAGTTGAAAAGTGAAATCGCACCACAAGAAATTTGTGGTTATAGAAGTTTGTGCCTTGGAAGCACAGAGCAGAAGCCAGCAGTTTTGCTGCTCACCACAACAAACCAGTAAGTGGACATCTGACTTTTAAATGAGACTCTCAAACCAGTATTTGGGTGAGATAGGCTAGTATTTAAAAAAAAAAAAAACAAGCCTCTTGAATTGATAATCCATGGTACCAGTTCTCTATCAGTAATTACTCCTGGCATTCATAGTGTTCTTGTTGCCTCTTGTGCTAATTAATTGAGGACATTAAAGAGTTTTTAAGAACTTCAAAATTCTTTTTTTTTATTAAAGAAACACTTTCTATTTGAATTGTAATAGATCGCATCTGTCAGCTGTGTCTCTGGTTAGCATTGCCTATTTCTGAGTGTAGTCATAGTACAGAGGTACAGAGACCTCATTCAGGGCCTTTCCTGAATGAATTCAACTAGAATAAAAGTGGTATTTCCAGGTTTTATATTTATTACTACTGTGTAGTCATATGTGTAGAATTAGCAGGACAGGGAGACATTGGCTTCTGTTTACTGAAGTCATATTAAGTGTGAGGACTCTGAACTATTTGTTGTCACTTTGTTTTGTTTTTTTGCCTCATCTCTCATTCCATCATAACACTAGGTAGTAGTCATTATATCTGCATTTTATAGATGAGGAAACTTGAGCTTCAAGATTAATGTTTCCAAAGCCATGCTGTTCGTGAAATAGAGTGAGGATTCAGAGCCTGTGTTCATCCCCATAAGAAGAATGCTATCATCTTCATTCTGTAAATGATAGTAACCACTGCTGCCCTTCTAGTGACAGGAAGGATTTTTGCTGAGTATTCTTTTGGAAAACTTGTTAATCATTGACTGTGACTTCAGAGTAAGAAAATTATGATGAAGGTGCTCCTTTCAGTCATTTTGCTGACTTACAGTTTTTCAAAAAATGTTTCTATGCAGCTAGCAGCTCTTGTCACATTAGGAAGCTGTCAATGTTTAGTCCTTAAATTAAGAAGCTAATATATATGAAATAAACTAATCAGAGAAATCAGCTTCTTTCAAGAAGTGTTGCGGAGACACAAAAGCAATGGAGTTTTTTGCTTGTCTTTTTTTCCATAAAGAAATTTATGGAAGACAAAACTCAATGTCATTCTTTCCAGTCCTGTATGTGATCAGGGATGTCAGATGATCTCAATTCATGAAAGTAATACTAGTACTGTTAAAGCTGTCATCCAGAGAAGTCATCACTTCAATAATCTTACAACATGGAGCATGTTGAACATAATATGGCTATGTTATACACACACTGGGTGGGGTGGGGGGTGGGCAATGACATAAGATTTAATTTGTGTTGGTATGGACATTCTTGAAAAGACATTTAGGAGAAATGAGATCCAAGTCAAACAGCAATAGCCTCTCCAGATTTTACCTACATTAAGAATGATGGTATGGGGGAAACAACTTTGTGTTGTTTTGTCAATTTCAGCATTGTTTTTTAATCTGCCTCTTCAACTAGAATGGGTCAGTGAGATATTAGCCACTATATCCCTAGCTCTTAGCACAATGATTTCACACATAAGTATGTGTTAAATGTATAAAGAAATTCTAAGCTCTTCCCTATACTGAAGTCCAAATAGCCTTTCTGTTATTGCCCTTGAGTGAAATCCTATCTACCTTCTTAAAAACTTTGTATGAGCTGGAGATGATGGTACACTCTATAATTCCAGCAGTCGGGAGGAACTGCAGGCCAGCCTTGTATAGGAAGAGTCATTTGACAGCTGGAGATGTAAATCAGTGGCCTAGTACTTACCTTAGCATGCATGAGGGCTTGTATTCAAGCCCTAGCACCAAAACAAGCAAACAAAGGTTATATAAACTGTGATAAGGCCTTCATGGTTTTGTTTTAGATATTTTAGGCCAGTTAATTCTTTGTGTCTGGGGCTGAGGCGCTATTGGATAGGATGTTTAAAAGTATTTCTGACCACTATCCACTACCCCTAATATGTCCAGATTCCTATTTATGAAAATCAAAAATATCCTCAAATATTGTCACATGTTCTCTGGGGAGCAAAACCACACCTCAGTTGAAAGCCATTCCCCACTTACACAGTAGCCACAATAAAATTGATTTTATTTCCTGACAAATATAAATCTGTCTTGCCTTCAGGCCTTTAAACATACTATTTCCTCTCCCTGCACATTGTCACACTTTGATTCACTCCTCACTCTTCACCATATCCCAGCTTAAGTACTGCTGCTTCTGTCTGGGCCTGGTGGTACAGGCCTGTCATCCTACCTACCCAGGAGGCTGAAGCAGGATTATAAGTGCAAGGCTTGCTTGGCTACAAAGGGAGTTCACGGCCGGCCTAGGCAACTTAATGAGGGCCTGTCTCAAAATAAAAATTAAACAGAAGGCTGGGAATCAGTTCAGTGGTAAAGCACCTTCCTAAAATGCACAAAGCCTTAGGTTCAATCCCCAATACCAATATAATAATAATAATAATAATTGCTTCTGAGATGCCTTCTGTTTCCCTAAGTTATACCCACATTCCCTTTCATAATACTTGTCTCCCCAATGCTTGTTTAATTGCCTGACTTTTCTGCTAAACTATGAAGGGCAGGTAAGGATTATATTCCAGGAACCTAACACAATGCCTAACATACAATAGAATTCAATTGAGATTTAAGAATTAGTCTATGTGTCAGTATTTCCCATTATGAAATATTAGGACATTCTGTTGGGTGATTGTTCATAATAATAGTTCCTTGTCAGTTTATTATGCTAAGTCAGAATTAGGTTTCATTTGCCCCTTGAATGAATCTTGGAAGAGATTCTAGAATTCAACCAGTACTCTAAAATAGTTTTATGGGGCTGGAGAGATGGCTCAGTGGTTAAGAGCACTG